AGTGGTCCCACATCTGCCTCCTATTACGCTCCTCTAGGCTTCCTGCCTCTTACCTAGCAAATTACTTTGATTAATACTTTAAAATTTGGACGGCAAAATATTACACGTGCCGGCCTCCATGATCACAGACATGTAACCCGTCAACACGGAATGTGAGGGCCCTACCTTTACTCACAGAATGAGAAAGTCTCGTGATTTGCTCAGTACAGACTACAGAGAGATCTGATTTTCACACTAATTATTATTTTATTATTTCTTCTATTTACATAGTTTAGGACAAAGGAATCTATTAAGATATCAATGTAAGTGTTTGCCTCTGATTTCTTCACTCATAAACAAAATTTAAGACCGTCTCTCACACTTGGCTACGCCATTTGTTACTCAGATCGTTTATAAAATTGAATTAATATTTTTTTAATTGTGATTCTATGTTGTTTACTTTAGGGGTTATGTTGTTGAGTTCTCAAAAGATGGACTTAAAATTTATGGTAATTTGATTCAAAATATTGTTGTTTGAATTTTTGGATTCAAATCTTGGGATTACTATAATAATATTATGATTTATCTTATTTTTTGAGTTTGTAAAATATTTGATCTCTTAAAGGTTAATTGAAATGTCTATAAACTAATTTGGACACTTGAAAAAAAAAAGAGAAAAAAAGAAAAAAGGGTAACAAATGAGCAAGAAAGTAAAGAAATTTGTTATCGATATTTGATAGTAAGAAATAGAAAATTACATTTAAGTGCGACTAGATGTTACAACAAAAACAGGATAGAGAAACTTTAATAACTTCTCCAAGCTGCAAAAAGAGGAACCTAACTTATTCACATCATTTCAACAGGTCCACGTCCATCATTCATCACTCTCTAGTTCAACCACCTTTTTAAACATAAAAGAAGAAATTAGTACTAAACAACTAAAAATTTTATATCTCCACAAATTTGTTAAAAATCAACGGTTATAAACTCATCCATCATGCATCCACAACTGGTGGAGCCAGATTCAGATCAAGATTGAGACCTCTTCTTGGCTTACAATCGACGGCCGATGATGAATCTGACCCACTCTGAACCCCACCACCAACTCTACTAACCCCAATCGGTTCAAACCGAACTGGATAAACCGGACCCATCAAATCTGGCCGTACCAACGTGTCAATGAACAAAACAGGAGGCGCGTGGGTCACGCACCCAATTCTATCACCACTCAGCGCCATAACACTCGGCTGCTGATACACAAATGGAAAACGACCAACGAACCCATGCCCACCGCCAATATGGCGCGTGACTTCACGCTCCACCTCATGCTCCGAGGACTCCACGGTACTACTCTGGCTGGGACTATGCTGACTATTGTTGTTATTGTTATTATTACTGTTTACAACGGATACAATTTCATTGGGTAAGGGGAAGTTAGTTTTAGCCTTGGAGCCACGAAACTCCCGAGCCGCCGCGTCGTACGCTCTGGCCGCGTCCTCAGCGGTATCGAAGGTACCGAGCCAGACGCGGCTCTTCTTACCGGGGTCTCTGATCTCGGCAGCGTAACGGCCCCACGGCCTCTTTCTGACTCCTCTGTAATGCACCTCGGTGTTTACAGAGCTTCTTCTAGTAGCGCCATTATTTGATTTTTCTTTGGGTGCCATTGTTTGTTGTAAATAGATAGATAGGATTCAAGTAAAGGGACGTGGTCGTGATGTATTGTGGTTTGCATGGAAGAGGAGAGGGTGGGTTGGTTTTTATATAGAGAAGAGAAGGGGTGAAGGGTGAAGGAGAGTATTAAGGGAGTGCGGTCAATGCGGGATTTGACTGAGGCGCCGCCCAAGCGAGTAGAGAGAGGAGACAATATGATAACGTTGTCTAGTGATACGTGGCACGCGGGAATGTCGAGACAAGCGGCGAGCTACTCTTGAATCTTGATGCGTGCCGGCTTTTGCCTAACGGTGTCGTTATTACACGCCCTTGACTTTTTTGTATAAAACTCCACTCTATCTTTGAGAAAATGAATTCACTTTCTTATCCTAGGAATATATTTATAATTCATTACCAATAAACAAAGGAGAGGTGTTTTGCACGCTCCCTTGGTGAGTTTGTGAATAGTAGGCATAAGAGTAAGGGGGATTAGATTAGCTAAGGACCGATTCTTAACATCTGTCAGCGTTATCCGCCACATCGCCGTCTCTCTCTCTGAACCTTTTGAATCGCTCTGTTGGACCGACAGCTAAAGGAAGTAAGCTCAACAGCCATTCAAGTAATGACACGCGTCCTTTTCTTGCGTTTGACGCGTCCTTAACAGAAGGCCCCCTCGTCAATATTTCGGTGCAATCAACTAATTGCATCAGTGTCTTTGTCTACTGATCCATTTTCTCGTGCGCGTGATTTTTAAATACTCTTTTAATTCTCATTTAATGCGCGTGAAAGATACGAAAAGTGGTACTCTCTTTGTGATTGGAGATTGATGAAAACGAGTTTGTAGAGCACGTGAGGGGGCGTGTTAAACAAAGTTAGTTAAATATAATCTAGCAGAAATTGATGATTCTTAGCTAAAAAGCAGTATAGATAACGGAATTTATTGACACGTGTTATCCGTTTGATGCTTATGTTATGTTGATAGGCGGTGAGTGGAATCGTATCCACCCTTTAAATGTCAGGAGTGTGATTGGGCTTTTAAATTATAAAATTAATGGTATTTGGAATTCGATGTTTCTATTTTAAATTTAGTTTAATTTAAGTTAATATAAAACAAATCTTTGAAGTACTTTTAAATTAAATAAATCTTAAATTTCTTGTCAATTATTCAGTTTATTTCTTTCAAACATTATTATTATGTCGAAAATAATATGTATATTATGAGTTTAAAAATTATTATAATTTGCATTAAAGAGCATTTATTCATCAGTATGATGAAAAGATAGGATAGGATTAAATAGGGGGAATAAGGTCTAAAGTTGCTATTGTAGGGTGTAATTTTAGCTAAATTACTTCACGCATTTAATTATTCAATAGCAAATTGGACAGAGACACAAGAACGACAGTGATAGTAGCTAAGACTCAACCTATGATTTGGGAGGGTCCCAAATAGCATGATTATTTTGTCCTTAATACAAGAAAACTAGAAAATTACAACTCATGGTAAAGGACAAATTCTATTAACGTGTAATCCAATTCCTTCATAAGTGCTAAAAAGATGTTTGAGAATAATAAAATGAGTAAACGACATATTCCCACCCAAGGTTTGATGAAATCTCAAGTTGGTACTATTAGTTACATTTATTCTAGATTCCCACTCTTATAGCGATGAAAAAATGTTTGATGTAACGACAAAGGGGTAAATTGATCATTTTGCATGGATGGCGCACGTTAGTAGATCGTCACCTCTAATAATCCTCTGGCATATTTTAGCAAATGGCGTCTCTGATGTTTTTCGCCCTTTTTCTAGTGATTCTTCCAACCAAAATCGCCATTGTCACCACCATTTGAACCCCCATCCTCCCCTCTACAAAACCTTACCCTTCACAAGCCCTCATCACTCGCCGATTGTCGGCCACGGTAGCCACAACATGTGACCAGTTTTTGCCGGTTTCTGGCCGTTTTGAATGGTGACAACCCCAACCACCACCACCATTTGATTCCTCGCATCCTCCCCTACAAAACCCTTAACCTTCCCAGTCACAACAGCTCGCTGTTTGCCGTCCACCACTTCACCAAAAAGGCAATTGAGCATGAACTCTCGGCTTGCGAACGGTGACTAAACGGTTATTGGGGACATAGAGGTTTTATAGAGTTGGAGATGCTGGTTGCAGTGGTGGTGTCCAATTGGATTTTCGCCGCCGAAATCTGACGAAGAATAGAGAAACCCTAAGCTTAACGGCGTCGACGATTGGAAGGGCCAATGAGTCGGGAACCAGAGGGGTTTTGGACGAAAAACTACAGGGAAGGTGATGGAGGTGACCAGAGGGTAATGTTCTGAAAACCGGACCGGACCAGACCGGACCGTCCGGTCAGACTGGTTCTACTGGTAACCGGCGGCATATCTGGTCCGGTATCTTTAAAAAATCGTTAATTTCATTCAAACCGGATTAGACCGCGGTTGGACCGCCGGAATAGTGCCGAATCGCGGTCTAATCGCAGCTCAATCCCGCCGGATTCTGGCATCGTTCGAGGGAGAAAACACCACCATTAGACTTGACGGCATCTCCATGATAAAACCCAGCCATTTTCAGTCGCTGTCGTCCAGCCTTCGTCGCTCGCCATCCACCTAAAGTTTATGCGACCGTCGGACTTCTTTTGTTGATTTCAGCGAGTTCCGGTGCCGATGGAACTCCCTAGCACCACCATCAGATTCGCTGGCACCTATACATCAAAAGCCCCATGAGTCCAAACCTCGATTGTCGTCGCTGCCGCCACCATCACCAGTCTCTGCGCGTGACAGGGGTATTTTGGACAGATTCCAAATCTTAAGGCAGTATTAAGGGGTGTTTTTGATGAATTTCGAACATTCAAGGACTAAAAACAATTTTATAAAATACGGTCCAACCGACTGATCCAACTGGTCAAACCAAAAACTGGACCCTTGAACTGGTCATAGTTCGGTCCGGTTTTCCAAACATTGCCAGGGCGTTCGACGCCGTCAGAAACAGTCTAGATCGGGCAAAAATCAAGAAGGTGTGCAGTGACCGAGGGTGTTATTGAGATAATTTAAAAATAAAATGGTAAGTTATAATTCTACTAATTTAGGGGTTAAAACGTAATTTATTAATTTAGGATTAAAGAAATTATGGTAATTGCATCCTCTATATCCTAAAACACTGTTATTTTAAGAGTGGAAATATGGAATAAATGTAACTTGAGATACTAACTTGAGATTTCGTCAAACCTCGGGTGGGAATATGTTGTTTACTCTAATAAAATTATAAAAATAATATTTATTCTTTACATGTATATACGTTAACATTCTAATCATTTATAAAAGCAGATTCAGTAACCAGAACATCAAGGTTCAACTATAGCATGTGAACCAAGGTGCCGTATTCACATTCTAGATTACAAAAGAATATATTAGCGAACTAATGACTCTAATTAAGCTCTAATAAGCACATAATTAATTAAGTTTACTGCTTCTTGGCATGTCTATGACAGAAGGCCTTGATCCTGGCAAGCCCTTCTCCAAGACAGGTGGGTTCAACTGCAATATTTATGCGTACCCAATTTTTCAATCCAACGGCCACCCCTGCATTATCATGCACCACACGCAGATTAGATTTTTGGAGAAAGCGATTCATCACTGCCCATGAACTACCAATCAACTTATCATAGTCTGAACTCTAAAGTCTAAACAGATAATACTAGAAAAAGCTAATCAGAAATGTCTTATGTATAATTTTAAGCGGCCACCCAAATCTGGAAATTTGGGCATATATAAATGTGAAGAATATTTGAAGGTCAAAACTCATATATAAATGTCCTATGTGTAGGACATATTAATAGGCATTTCAATTTATATTATTGGCTTCTTAATTAAGAAAGAAATCGTACTAAACATAGGGTATTAAATGATTCTAGACAAATGCGTAAGGAAGCACTAAGGTAAAAGTTAATACACTGTTATCTAAGTTCCTGGTAGAACAATCACAGATTCCTCTTTGGCCAGCTTCAGACTAAAATCCATATCATCTCTAATTCCTTCAAGTAATGATAGGTTTAACTTTATCTGCATGTAGTAGTTATTAAGCATAAGAAATCAAATATAATTTTCTATTTCAAAAAGTTTTTGAATCGCAAGATTAGTATGTTTTAGCCATGTGTATTTACCATCACAGACATGGAGCCTTCATGTTTTTGTTGGCAAGCAATGCAAGGGATGTCCTTGATTTTACTGTAAAAAATGTCCGCAGCTTCTTTTATGGTGTTGAGAATACTGGAATAAAAATCTTCTTTTAGAGTCTCTAAGATTTGAGGAATGGCCCCTTGATGCATAAACCATATTCATTAGAGAACTTACGACAACTTTGTTTATAAGCATTACTTGAATTAATAATTAGTTCCATTACATACCTGAATAAAGGTTGCGGGAAAGGTGGAGATATTGAGATAATTCTTAATGTCGTCCACAATCTGGTTAGAACAAAAAATTGTTAACTAAAGCAAACCACTAAAGTTGAGCAGCATATAAATAATCTAAACACCCAATCATTTTTTTTGTCTAACTAAAATTTATTGTTTAGATAAAACAAGATATTTTTGAGGGTTAGTGTAAGTGTGAAGATCACCAACCCCAGATTTTTGAAGGATGCCATGAGGATCGGTGGTGGCAATCCAACCAAGCCTCCAACCAGGAAGAATCCATCTCTTTGATAGAGATCCCAATGTAACTACAGGTACAATGGATCCAAACTGTCCCATAGGTACGAATGGTGTGTTCCCATAAACAAGATGCCCAAAAACTTCATCAGCAATCACAAATATTCCAAGCTTTCGTGCTGTCTCTGCCACCTGAATGAATTTGCACAAAACGTACATGCATAAACCAAAAGTTGGCACTTCCAAAGTAACTATAACAAATCAATATTGATACCCTATAAAGATATAAAAATATATAAACCTTTTTCAATTGCTGGTATGTGAAGACATTTCCACAAGTGTTGCAAGGGTTTATGATAACAATGGCAGCAGTGTTTTCATCTGCTAGAGATTCAACTGCATCAAGATCAATTTCCCATCCTTTTTCTGGTATAAGATCAAAATGGCGTACTTCTAGTTTACTAAAAGCTGCACAAGATTCATAGATCGGGTAACCTGGCCTAGGAAGAAGAATATTTGCACCAGGAGGAGCAAGGACTGATATCATTATTTCAATTGCATGTGCGCAGCCAACTGTAACATAAACATCATCTGCTGAAAATTGACTCGAATTAAGATCACGAGAGAGAAATTCTGCAATTGCCCTGTCTAATGGATGAGACGATGTTATTACCATCATTTTAATTATGTATTTATATAAAATTTTGCACTATAATATACTTGAAAAATTAAAAGAATAAGAAGAAACAAAGTTTGATTGAGTTTATAAGAAAAAAAGTAGGTTAGTTTGACACTTATATTACAGAACAGAATTTGTCTATAAGTGAGAGTTCAATGTGCAAGGTGGAGCTTTTTTGAGGAGAATAGATATGTAAATAACAGAAAATTAGTAAATAAAATAAGCTGCTACTTGATCCTTAAATAAAAGAACCATTGGCATGTAGTTTAATTTTTCATTTTAAATAAACATTAAATTTGTACGTAGATTGAGAGATACCTGAAAGTTTAAATTAAATTTATTACCTTCTTGCAGGAGGAATACCAAAGATAGGAGCATAACCATTGAACTTAGCTGATCGTACAGCATCAACAATAGCATCATCGGCTAACGCCGTGGTCCGAAAGCACTGAAAAACCGAGGGATCGCCTAGGCCAAGGGAAATGACGGGCCGGTCATCATCTTTGTTGAGATTTGCCATCAACACTTCATTAACTCCTTCAATGTTACAGAAAGTTTCATTATGATCATGAGTGGAACCTTGTTTCAGTTTCTTCTCCATTTCTTCTTAATTACTTGAGTTTCTTATAATTTGGTGGATCAAGATTCAGTGGAGAAGGGTACTTATATATAACTCGTTAGACAGTCAAAAAATTCCACTTGTTTTGGCTTTATTTTGTATACACTTGCATGTATGTCAACTCAATGGAAAGGCATCTACGCGATTTGTCTTAACAGAGATTCCTTTAAAATAAGACTTGACATTGCCTTAAAACAAGGCTAGAAATTCCTTTAAAATAAAACTCATTTAGTAATAATATCAATTGAGTAGTTTCTATATTTGCACATGATATGTATTTCGATTTCCAATAAAATATTTGTATTGACTGCTAGGGTGCGTGTTCCCATGCATAACTAACACGTTTTAAACTCTTTCGGAGCTAGGTCAAAAAGCACGTGGAAATTCATTATACAAACAAGTAGTTACACTGAGAAAAAAATATATGAAATCATATCAATTTTGGTACAAGCTAGGAAGCTTCAGGTCTACAATACAAAAAAGTTAATTTATTTTAAAGATCAACAAGCAGTCTTAATTTTATAATCAATTATCCAGTTTGTGTTTCTCAGATGTTGCACGATAAAAGATTATTACAATTAATTTGCCCGTAAATATAGAAATTAAACTAGAACATTAGTACACACGTCAGGTGGGTTCAATAGCAATATTTAATGCGTAGCAGATTTTTCAACCCAACAGCCACGTTGATATCATGACCAAATGCAAACACGTAATTGAAGATATATAACTGCGTAAGAAGTATATATAAAGGTAAGGTAATTCTAAACTATGTTAATTAATTACCTGGTAGAACAATCACAGCTTCCTCTTTGGCCAGCTTTAGACCAAAATCCATGTCATCACTAATGCCTTCAAGTACCTAATGACAGGTTTAGTTCTATCTGCATGTAGTAGTAATAAAATACAATTTTGTATTTAATTTTTTTTTTTTTTTTTTGAATCACAATATCAGTAAGTCGTGGCAATGTGTATATACCATCACAGACATGGAGCCTCCAGGTTTTTGTGGGTAAGCAATGCTCGGGACGTCCTTGATTTTGCTGTAAAAGATGTCTACAGCTTCTCTAATGGTGTTGAGAATACTGGAATAAAATTCTCCTTTTAGAGTCTCCAAGATTTGAGGAATGGCCCCTTGATATATATATCATAATTTTCATTTCTAGTTTAAAATGATTTAGTTCCAAGATAATTTAATCTTTTTGATAAGTTGTTTACAATAAAAAACTCATATTTGTATACCTGAATGAAAGGTTGCAGGAGAAGTAGAGATGTTAAGATAATTCTTAATTCCGTCCACAATCTGGTCAGAACAGAAATTGGAACGATTTGAAGTTTAAATGCATATTCGGTTAAGTCTCTCGGCTGTATCAATTTATAAGTAATTATAGCGGACATGACCAACCCCATAGTTTTTACGGATGCCAATATTAGGATCATTTAACACAATCCAAACAAGCTTCCAACCAGGAAGAATCCATCATTTTGACAGAGACCCCAATTTAACTACAGGCACAATGGATTCAAACTGTCCCATAGGTTCGAACCGTTTTTTCCCAAAAGTTAGATGCCCAAAAACTTCATCAGTAATCACAAATATTCCAAGCTTTCTGTTAAGCACAAATCTACTCTATATGAGGGAGTAGAGCCTCCAAGAAGAAAGAAAAGAGAGAATAGAGTTTTAGTCAATAAGTTCTTCGCTACCCACATTATTCCAGTTCAGAGCTAATATAGCTGGTACATAAAAACTTAATAATTGCAGTTTTCTTAAAACCATTGTGTTATAACTACTCACAGAAAGAATCAACCAAATATAGCAACAGATCAAGAACAAGAATCACACCAAACACACACAAGAACAACCAGATTTACCATGGTTCACTTGCTCTATGTTTGAGCAAGCTACGTCCACGTTGAACTCGAGAATCACACGAGCTCGCTGCACTAAGACTGTCAAGATTACAGTTTACACACACAGCAACACAAATCCCTCAAAACCCCCTTCTTCAACCCGTAACTTACCCTAGAGATTACACCCTTCGAATCCCTAAATACAGCGTATACAATACACCCAGAATGACTTGACCCAGTCACTTAATCAACAAGTTACAGGATCCACTCAACCCAAATTGAAAACCCTAAAGGCTCAAAGATGGTGTTTAAAGAAGAAGAGAGAGACTTGTATAAAATGAAAATGAATCGAATGCATAAACTGCCAAAATAATTCTGCTTTTATATGGTTGACATTAGGGTTGAATTTCAGCCGTTGGATCTTCTTTTCATCAACGCTCAGGATTGTTTCTGTCGTTTAGATCAAAGCGACGTCGTTCCATTTAAGTGCAAATACGACAGCGTTTCAAGCCATCATCCAACAATCTCCACCTTGATGGGTTGAAAAACAGCCCTTGTGCTAGTGCAGCTTGCCTTTAGTGAGTCCTTCATTGTTCTCTTATTACTGTTGCTTACTGAATGGACAGTAGGTTCAAGCAATGCTTGAACTTCGCAATTGTAACAATCTTCGTACCCATGTCTGCTGGATTGTGCTCAGTAGGAACCTTATTGAGTATTATCTCCCCCCTAGTGATAAGATCTCTCACAAAGTGATAGCGAACATCTATGTGTTTGGTTCGCTCATGGTACACTAGATTCTTACTCAAATGTATTGCACTTTGACTGTCTGAAAAAATGGTTGGTCTCAGTTCAGTCAGTTTTGCTTCACTCAGGATCCTTTTGAGCCATACTGCCTCTTTAAATACATCAGCTACAGCCACATATTCAGCCTCGGTTGTTGATAGTGCAACTATAGGCTGTAATTGGGACTTCCAGCTGATGCAGTTGTCCCCCAAGGTAAAGTAATATGCAGTGGTTGACTTTCTAGTGTCCCTGTCACCTGCAAAATCAGAGTCTACAAAACCATCCAGCTCAAGTGAGGCAAATCTTTTATAATATTCCAGTCCCACATTTAAAGACCCACTAACATATTTGAGTACCCACTTCAGGGCTGTCCAATATTCCATACCAGGATTGGACATGAATCTACTCAGCAATGATATCACAAATGATAGGTTAGGCCTAGTGCTAATCATAGCATACATCAAGGATCCAATCACATTAGCATAGGGAATGGTCTCCATTCTAATTGACTCAGCATCAGTATTAGGGCATTGGGCCTTGCTTAAGGTGAAGTGGTTTTCTAAAGGCATTGAGATAGTTTTGGACCCTGACATTCCAAATTTTTCTACTAACTTATGCAGATATGAACACTGGTGAATTTTCAATTTGCATTTACTCCTGTTTCTATCAATTTGCATTCCTAAAATCTTCCTAGCATCCCCTAGGTCTTTCATTTCAAATTCTGCATTCAGTTTCTTTTTTAACTCACAGATCAGAGGCTTTGATTTACTTATTAGTAACATATCATCTACATACAACAGTAAGTAAATAGGTATTTCATCTAAAACAGCAAAGTAGAAACAACTGTCATATTTACTCCTAGTGAATCCTATACTTACTATAAAGGTGTCAAACCTCTTATACCATTGTCTAGGGGATTGCTTTAGACCATATAAGGATTTCAACAGTAGGCAGACATGATTAGGGGCCCTTTTATCTATGAAACCTAAGGGTTGGCTCATGTAGATCTCTTCCTCAAGATCTCCATGAAGGAATGCAGTTGTGACATCTAATTGTTCAAGCTCTAGATCCTGGTGAGCTACTATGGACAGCATAAGCCTTATGGTTTTGTACTTACCTACTAGGGAAAAGACTTCATTGAAGTCAATTCCCTCTCTTTGGGTGAAACCCTTTGCTACAAGTCTAGCTTTATACCTGAGGAGTTCCTTATCAGTGATACCTTCCTTTAGTTTGAACAGCCACTTGCATTGTACAAGTTTCTGATCTTTAGGCTTTGGTACAAGCTTCCAGGTTCTGTTCACCTCCAAGGATTTCATTTCAGCTTCCATTGCAGCCTTCCATTGGTCACTTTCTTTTGTCTGCATGGCTTCCTCATAGGTTTCTGGTTCTCTTCTTTGTACTTCAGTACCTACAAGGAGGGTAGTGTATATTAGGTTAGCATAGGAATATCTCATAGGTGCCCTTACCTGTCTTCTGGTTCTGTCTCTTGCAACCTGGTAGTCTTGCAAGTGTTCAGGTTGGATCTTAGTATCATCTACTGTTTCTATCTCATCCTCATGTTCTGGATCAGTTTGTCCAGTTTCTTCTCCATGTTCAGTAATAGCTCAAGTTTCTTGGCTGGTTTGAGTTTGGACAGGAAGCTCCACCTCAATTGGTGTAACTTCAGGTTGGGTGAAGGGATCATCTGTTCTTGACATGGGGTCAGTTTCGGTTCTAGTTTCCTTACAAGGAAAAACTCCCTCATTGAATATGACATCTCTGCTCACAATGATTTTAACCCCTGAAGTATCTCTTTCCCAGAGTCTATAGCCTTTGGTCCCTTCTTGATACCCCAGGAATATGCACTTGGTTGACCTAGGTTCCAATTTGCCTCCTGCGGTGTGTGCATAAGCTGCACACCCAAAAACTCTCAAGTGGCTTAAAGCTGGGACTCTACCTGTCCACATTTCCTCAAGGCTCTTTAAGTTTATTGCAGTAGATGGGCTTCTATTTACCAGGTAAGCAGCTGTTGTAAGAGCTTCTCCCTAGAATGAGGTGGGGAGATTGGAGGTTATTAACAGGCACCTAACCTTATCAAGGAGGGTTTTATTCATTCGTTCTGCCACTCCATTCTATTGTGGGGTATATGTTACTGTCCTATGTCTTAAAACCCCTTGGTCACTACAAAACTTATCAAATTCTTGATTACAGAATTCTAGCCCATTGTCTGTTCTGAGAACCTTCACCCTTTTTCCCATTTGGTTTTCTACTAAGGTTTTCCAATCCTTAAACCTAGCTAGGGCCTGATCTTTTGTTTTCAATAAGTATACCCACACCTTGCGGCTATAGTCATCCACCAGAGACATGAAGTAATTATTCCCTCCATAAGACTTCACTTTTCCAGGTCCCCAAAGGTCAGATCTAGTGGACTAGTGGCTAGGTGTGTCCCTTTGGTGAAACTATTTCTATGTTGTTTCCCTAAAACACAATTCTCACAGAATTCGAGGGATGTGGTCTTGTCCTTA